TATTATTAATATTATGTATATAACTGAAATCAAATCGAAATAACAAATATTTTAATTTTATAACACATTCTATATTATATCCTCACTTAAAACCACCCAACAACAATTTACTTAATATGATTCATTTCTAGCCAAGCTCATTTCTAGTCGAGCTCAACGTTATCAAATTCCGCAATTAGTAAATCTAAACAAACTATTTGAGCTTCAATAGAGATTATTGCTTTACTTTAGTTCTGGGTGGAACCATTTGTGTGATATAATAAACTAAATAAATATTTTTTAGTTAAAAAAAAAATTCTTATATGTAAATATCCGTCTTTAAATAATTTTGGTAAGCATTTCAGTCGAAACTAATAAATAGCAAGAAAACGGTAGTACGTTCTGTATGATTGCTTAAATATTCCTAAGTAATTGTCTGCTTACTCAATTCGACTTAAAGATACTATCAATATCAGCAACCTTGTATTTCAGAATTGTATATATTTAACTAAAAACATTAAAATTAGTATTTACTCATTATTTAGATAAAACTCTTAGTCAAAGATAAACAATCAAGTTCATTTAAGTTTTAATTATTTACATTATCACCTACTTTACTTAACTATATAAATAAAGCAATTCGCAGTATATACATGATTTACAAATATTTAATAAATTTAGTATATACATGTACATAACATATTTATATAAATGTATGTATGTATGTTAGTATATTGACCAGCAGTCAACAAGATTAATTCATGAATTTATTAATCGAAGATGTGACTTTATGAGAAGGGCGTTGACTGCATTTAATCAGCTTTAAAATATTTAATGAATGAATTTCAAAATTTGTAACTACTAATGCCTCAACAAGATAATAAAAACTAATGGAATGCTATATTTTAATAATAAATTTATTAAAGATACATTAACTGATTTAATAATACTTTTTGAAATATTTTAATTGTTTTGTTTAAATATTCATCTAGTTTTATATCAAGACAATGCATCTGCTCACACAACTCAAAAATGCATCACCAAAATTCATAAATTACTGCAGCAATCAGCCTATTCGACAGATTTTGCTCCCTTTGACTTAAAGCATATTTTTATGGATAATGGTTTTCATTAGATAACCTTAGATAACAGTTACCGTAGAGACGTGTCTTGTAGAACTTCTGGAAAATTACTGCAGTGATGAGCCCCATAAGTAAGACTATCTATAAATTAGCGAACTGTTAGAAGAAGTGTACTAAAGTTCAGATAGATTATATCAAAAAATAATGCAATTTTCACAACTACTATAGGTATGTTTTATTATTCTAGTTCCGCCAACTTATTCAATAATCCTGTATATAATAAATGCAGGCTTGTGATGAACAAGCCGTATAGTTTCAACATGAAAAGACTAATTATTGATGTATATCCTATAAAAACACAAAACTTTATTTGAATATAATTTTTCATTTGCCAAAAATAATATATTATTGTTGAAAATGATGGAACTTCAATTAAATGATGTATCGAATAATAGTTAAGAAATAAATTATAACTTATATTTTTTTTATAAATAAAACAAATTTAAGCAGTTCTAATAGAAATATCAATAATTACAACACATTGATTCACAAAGCAGATGGTTTAAAAATGCCTAACGCATCGTAACTATGTCGTCACAATAGTGGTATACCCGGTTTGCACGGACTAAAAACAATCCCCCTCATGTAGCACAAATTTCACAAATAGATGGCCTATATTGATATGAATGGTCTTAACGAATACTATTTTGTGGTTATCGCTTTGCAGTGTTACCATGTTAGTTCATTACTAAGCTTGTTGCTCGAGATCGAGAACACCCCTCATATATAAACTTTATTTAATAGACTAATAATGATTGGTTTAGGTGGATAAAAAAATCAGTGCTTTTCATTCACATTCTATGATGTAAGAAATATTAAATAACAATAATTTTTTTGAACCTCTTTAATTTTATTTTATTTATTATAATTTAACTTGACATTAAGTAAATGTTTTATATAAGCTATTCAAGATATTACTAATACTGGCACGAACAATGTCTTATGACATATGTATTTATATTATAATTAGATATCTTTGTTTCTTTTCTTCTTTCCGAATGGGTAGAAAATTACCTTCTCCCAAAACATAGAAAATGAATGGTTTCAGACCTACAAGTAGCGAGGCTGTTATTGCTGGAAACTCCAGTGTGTCGTGGGATAGAATCCATATCTGATTGTTCTAGAAAAGGATATTCAGCTTTCTAAGAGACTTCATCACCAGTCTTGATGTCACCTGAAGAGAATTATGAGCCTTCATTGCTGCCTAACTATCAGTTAAAATGGGCTATGATTCTTATAGTTACGTTTGTGTTTAGAATATACACACCTGTCAATAGCATATATTTCTGCTTAAGGGATAGTTGTGTTTTTATCCAGCGTTTACAATTATTTTAACTGCAGTTCATAAACACCTGGTGCGGCTACTACTTTAGTGGGAGAGCTGTCCATATTTTGGATTTCAGATAAACCATCTAATTTTTATTACTAAGTTTACTTTTAAACTATTTTATGCAAAGAAACGAATCATAGTATAACAAGCTTAATAAGAATTTGTAAAATCTATATATCTCTATGATATTTTATATAACTCTTAAAATATTAGAACAATTTTATATATTATTTTTAACTTTTTTTATTTTAATATCTGAACATTAATTTTTATTAAATCTAAATCTACTTCAATAGTAGATGTATTATTTAATAATATAATGTTGAAAAAGTCAAAACAACTTGTTGTAGAGTCCATCGTGTGACAAAAAGAGTTTCATTTACATTAACGATTATTATACTAAAATAATCGGCAAGCAGGTAAAGCGCGTTTTATTTTACACCTTTATTTGTTTTAAGAAATAACATAACATAACATATAAAAATTAACATAACAAATACTATATGCATGGAAAAAAAATATATTATATATTGCCAATTCATGTAAACAAAAACTAGAATTAATTCTGTTCTCCTATTTTGAACTATAGATATATAAATTCAAAACGTATTACTTTTATTTAAGTAAGGGCATTTCTAACATTAACTTCCATATAGAATGTTCAAAAAGGGACTGGCCAAAAAAAAGCCCTTAATAAATTAAAAATTATTAATCCAAACGGTTATATATCAATATGTAGTCCATTTAACATTTTTTAATATTATGTCTAATCTATATATGAGTCTTTTTATACTTAAATGTCTACGGAAAATAAATTTGTTAAAAAATTTTTGTATTCTCAAATAACTTTATCTATCCTCCTTCTTATAAAACAGTTCTCCATCCATAAACCAATTAGCCTGCAATCGAAGAAAGATACTTACGTCTTTTTGGATAAAATCAAGATTAAAAACATCTTGTTTTATACAAAAGTAGAAAGTATCTCTTAATTATATTATTGATATTTACTTATTCATTTATTTATAAAAAAGGTATAACACTAATAATATACCTAAGTGAAAAGAAAGTCTTGTCAGCAGAGTCCTTTGATTCTTAGAATAAAAATATTTTATAAAAATTGAATGAATTTGACTTTTAGAATTATAAACTATGAACTATGCAATAGTAACACAATGGGCCAACTGGCCTACAAAAAAAAAAACAACTGCTCTACTTAGCACTATCTAATCTCAGAGTAATTACTAACCGCACGGGGCGGTACACAGATCTTAGATCAGTGTACCAGTGTATAATCACGAAGCTTATGAGGAATATATAAATTAGTCAGTGAGATGGGTGGGACTCTACAGAAATCTTCTAGCTATCAAAGAGTAAAAGTGCCCAGATGCACTAACTCGGAAAATAATAAAAATTATAATACAAATAGATTAAGAAAATAAGATTTTTAAATGAAAGTGAAAAAAATTCTAAATTGAATTAAGACATGTTATTTCTGTCAGAAGTTTTTAAATCGAATAATGTTTGAAAACGTATATTGAGTCAGACGATAGGAAGAGATATAGGAAGAGAAAGTACAATATCTTAGATTTACGTATCCCATTTATTCTTTAAAGCATAAAATCGACCACATTTGCTCATACATGAATGAATTGTTTTATTTTTAATATAATGACGAACTTCGAACTTCACTTTTCACAATATTTATTTAATCCATATTCTAAACACTTAAAATTAGAGGAAAAAACCACCTTAATATTATTTTAATACAAAATCTTTTAAATTCGGTTGAAGTTAATTTTGAGCGATATATTCTGAATTAATAAACTTTTATAATATTCTACATATAATAATTAAGTACAAATAGTGTAAACTGCATATAATATATTATTATTGTAAGAGCAACAAATTAAGTGCTATTTATGTTAATTATTAAAATATTAAAGATTATTAAGTTGGGAGAACTAACTTGCACTGCGACCTCATTGCAGATACTTGTAAGCATTGACATGAAAAACCAATTGCAACAAAATCAATGCTTCTCCAAAGCAGCCTTTTAATATCCATCATTTCCTCATTGTCAGATACATTCAATATTCTTTATATTTACAAATGTTAATCTTACAGATAAACATCAATCACAACAGTTTATTGCACTGAAATGCATGTAAATATTTTACGATTAACAATTTAACTTAAGTTTATGTTTTACTAAACTTTACTGCATGTAAATAGTTTTCCGGTTTTAAATTTTAACTTGACTTTATATCTCTTGTATTTATTTTTATTATTTATTTTATTTTACTTTTTTTATTTTAAAACATAGTTTGATCATTTCATTACCAAGTGTACTTGAAGGCTGGTTTCGTCTCTTTTCTTGATTACTTTTATGCATACTCGTATTTACAACTTCAAGTACATTTTCATTAGGGTCTTCCTTTGCTTCTCTGCAATGCAATCAAAAAATTTGGAATCTGGTTTTTAATTTGTTTTAAAATTCATCCAATTTTGGTATAAAAGCCATTGTTTTACTCAAAACGAATGCAGACAAGCTTTTGGATTAAAAAACGCAGTTTAGTTTCGAGTTAAAAGAAAAACCATATAAAATGAAATTTTTGACTTTGGTAAGTAGTTGAAGGATAAAAATAGTAGTAAAAAAATTTCAATTTAAATTATAAATAATTTTTTAATTTTTTATAAAAAATTTTTAACATAACATTATATTTTTATTAATTTTTTCAGAGTTTATTTTTGTGCCTCTTAATTGTTGCACTTGTATCAGCAGTACCTATCGATGAGTCCTTCCCTGGAGATGTATACGATCAGGAGCAGAACAATCCACATGATCCACAATCAATTTTCAAACTGAAGAAGCTCAAAAAGTTGCTTTTAGGTTAAATATGAGAAACTAATTTAGCATTAACATTAAGTGTTTATAATTATTAAAACAGCAATTATTAATTTGTTTCAAAATATTGAATGTATCTGGAAAATAGTTTTTAATTGTAAATGCATTTTGCTTATTGTAAAAATATGCTATGAGCCATAGTATCCATAGTTTATAATTTTAAAACTGCCATAGTTTACACATATTTTTGAATATTATCGTAAATTATATGTAATTATAATATACAATTTTAAAAAAATCAAGAAGTGATTATTTTTTAAAGACTTCACACAGGTCCATGAAAAAGGAAATATTTAAAACTACTAGTCCATCTATAAAATAACCTCTGCATTTAAAACTTATCAAAATTTCTCTAAAAGTAACTTTCATGAATAAAAAGTTATTGAATAAACACAGTTAATATATGCTACGAGTCACAAAATCTGGACATAATCCTGAAGAAAAAAAATCGCTTAGTGTTAAACATAGTTAATATATGCCACGACTCACAAAATCTGGACATAATCCTGAAGAAAAAAAATCGATTAGTGTTAAACACAGTTATATATATGCCACGAGTCGCAAAATCTGAACCTAATCCTCATAACAAAAAGAAATCATTTGGTTTTAAAGACGCTTATTATATGACACGAGTCAAAAAAATCTGGACCTAATCCAGATTTAGGATTAGGATATTTAGTGTTCGAATATGTGTTACGATTCACTAAATCAAGACGTAATCCCATAATAAAATAATGTTGATTTATACTGTTTTGAATATAATGACACTTAAACAACCAATAATTAATCCCTCCACTAATATTATCTCCATATTAAGTACAACATCATACATAAATTCATTTCATAATTTACTTATGTCATTATTTGCATCTTAAATAAATCTTCTTATTCTTTCTTTTTTCTAGTCCTAGTTTATATTCGGTTCAGCTCTTTTCTTTTATATTACGATATCTTCAATACAAAGTCCTGCGTAACTTCTTCATTTGGTATTTCTTCAGGTTTTTTTCATCTTTTTTTTTTTCCAAACTGATTTCCATCGTTTCATTATCTGATTTTCTCGCTACATAGTCTTCTCAGCGCAGATGGTATTAGTGTTCAGCAAAACATAAAGCATTACACTATGAAACTAATTGTACCAGACTCACTACTCTCTCAGTAGTTTTGTTAATAATAATAATCGTCACATTTGTAGTGAGAAACACCCGTAAGCGACCCATTTGCTATTGATGTACTCTATAAAATACACTTTTTGATGCTATTTATGAACTAATACTATGATCAGGAAGTACGTGTTCAAATATGAAAAAAATTAGAAATGTAATCATTAATGAAACGCAACACAAAGCCTCAAACGACTTATTCTTCTAAGTATGCAGAAGAATATGCTCTAAGCGGATTTTGGTTTCAAAACTGTGCCATGTATTATATTATCGGAGAAACCAACGAATTATAAAAGCATGTTCTCGATGTTAGACATTGTGTCAAAAGTGCAACTACTAGATTTAATTTAGATCTAGATCCAAGTCAATAGAGCATTGTTTGTGGAAGTTAACGAAATCATTGCTATACTCCTGTGATGACATGACCTTTTTTTAAGCGCGTACCAAATAAAATTATTTTGTTAAACTTGTAATGAGCTAAGTTATTACGTACATATATTATAAATAAATTATTTTAAAATGCCATTTTAAAAAATAGGCATTACATAAATAGTAAAAACTTGTTTAATCTTGCTTTTTGGGCAAATAGGCCCACTGTACGATACTAATGGTGATGCCCTATTGAAAACATAATAATGTACGTGTCATGTGCCACCTATGACAAGCATGTTAGAGGTACACCATCAGTTACACATATACTATAGGTTCACCATCGCCTGCTCTATGCAACAACAATTCAAACTTTAAAAGTAGAGTGCTCCATTCGTAAGATATAGTATTTAATATTCCAAAAAGTTATGGAAAGTTCAAGCTCCAAAATATTGTTTGTATGATATATCTATGCAGGTAGCTGATCGAAAACTTGATATAGATATTATAAAATTATGTATCATATAATAAAATTTTTTCTTTTCTTTTAATTGAAAATCTATACCTTTCAAAAAAGAAAGGTATAGATTATGTTATGTCTTCTCATAACGAAGACAATCTGAAGTTTTCATATTTTAGTAATAATTTCTCATAAACAAAGTATTGTGCATTAATGAACATTAACATATTTTTGTTTATATACTGCTACTGAAAAGATTGCTGATTGATTTTCAAAAACTATAAAAACACATTATAGAAAATAAAAACGACAGACATATGGATTTACTTTGTTCATCTGGTCAATATATATTTTAATTATATTCTTAATAACCTCTGTTACTATCAACAGTTTTGATGAGTTTCAAATCAAAGCTTTGTAAAATACAAATAACTTTAAAATATTTTAAAGTTCTATCGCTCATATTTGCTGTTCAATAATTAATTTGCACAAATAATTGATTATGAATAAAATAAATAATATTTAACATGTTCACCATGAAAATTTTAATAGTCACCTCTCTAAAGTCACATACGACGCATCGCTAGATCAAAAGATGTGTGATGTGTGATTATGAATGAAATGAGAATTTTTTATCACTAATAAGTAAATTTTTCAAAACTTAAACTTACATATTAAAATGTAAATATTTATTACATTAACAAAAAACAGAGAACAATTAAATTATAATAAAATTAAGTAATGTTAAATAATGTAATGTTGTGTGTGTTAATATAGCTTGATGACCTACTATACTATACTATAGTCAGTCCAGTACTGACTGTCATATTATTAAAACGACGTAAATAATGTGGTAGCGTAGTGAATAGGCTACTTAGTAAAATGATTTAAGCAGTCTCTCAAAAATTTGCAGATCACAGCAACATAGAATGATACTCTTAAAATCTTCCATGAGTCATACTTGGATTTTTGTCATCGTTTAGGTCAGGGCTGTCCAGACCAATACAGGCTGGTTAATACAAATGCTGCATTGATTGGAGGGCCGCAGAAATAAATACATAAGTTTAAATTTTCAGAATAATGGTTAAGCTATTTACACAATTCTTTCATTTTATTAATATCAACATTATTAATATTAGTTGTTGCCATACGAAAAATATTTTAAATATATGTACTATTAAACTAATGTTGTACAAAGAAATATATACTAAAGTTTTTATCAATTAAGTAAATTAACGTAAAGTGTAATAAATTATTTAAAACATTTTAATTCATTTATATTACTAAAATATAACACAAAAAAATATACCTAATTGTGGAAGATTGCGTCGCAACGCGTATGATACCCGTGGGTCGTGCTAAGTTTACAAGCTTGTGAAGAAGGGTATCTTAGCTTCCTTCACAGAACCCGAACTTTTTTGAGAGATATTCAATTGTCATACTGCAACAGCAATTAGAAATAGTGAATATTATTCCGAAAATCTGATGTAATTGAAACAGTTCCAAACATTTCAAAATGAAAGACTTTTTAATCTAAATAAATTTAAACTCAGATTAAAATCTAGTTTCTTAACTGGATATGCTGTTGTTAAATACAGCTGCAGATATTGGGTAATGTGAAGCAAAATCTTTGTCTGTCTAACTAATTTATGCCCCACGATTATCAGGAAAAAAATTCACTAACTTAATTTAAATTTTATTCGACCAAAAGTAGTCTAGATTGTTGAACCTTAAGATATTGTTAAGTTTATCAAGACCCTTAACTGTTTGGGTTATATCTCATAGGTACAAGTATTGTTCACTTATACTGAATCACACGAGAGTTTCGTTTGTAATTTTAACTGTCAATTGTTGTTGCTTTCAAAACTCTCGTGTAAATACAATTCGGATTAATTCAAATAATATGTAAACCATACAGCGAATACGAATAATTAAATGATTCCTTATTTTTTTTGTAATGAATAGTTCAAATAGAGTGAACTATTCGAATACAAAAAACAATTTTTATAATAATAATTCACAAATATTTTTATTTTGAAATCATCAAACTGCCAGATTATAATTGTATACACATGAATCCTAAATTGACTCCATACAAAAAATTGACAATGTTCTTTTTATATAAATTAAAAGAAATCAAATTTTTTTAATATTGTATTTTTATTTTTTTTTATTATTTAGTACTTATAAGAATACATTATGTAATGAGTGGACTTAATTAAATACACAACAAGTTTATACTATTTTAATATATGACTATCAGCAAAAATAGATGATGAAATGTAGCTTTGTTTGTAATAACGGATATATTAATTTTATATTAACTGTACTGAATTATTTAATGACTTATGTTAATAACTATAAACACTATCAGATATTTCGTCAATTGAAATAATTTAACCGAGGAACAGAAGCTTTTTCAACAAAGCCAATTTCAGTAAAAATGATTGATCATCAGTTGGACTGATTCTATCACTAGCAGCACCTTCAAGACCCTCTGGTATTGATTCATCGACAGGCACAGCACTGACTGCCATGAAGATGGCAAAACAAACGAGTAGGGTCTAAAAAAAAACAAATTTAATTTAATTAGAATTTTAATTTTCAATTTTAAAAAATCACAAAAAAAGTTTTTTTATTATATATAGTTTTTAATAGATATCCTTTAATTTTGTATTTGTACGCACCAAGAATAAAAATTTCATTTTGTTAATGTTTTTGTTTTGATTAGTTATGTCAATTTAAAACGTTTAGATACAGCGACGAACGTGTACTGATAATATTTAAGGTCTAAGCCGCCTATTTATACAACCAGCAAAAATATAAAATCAACCAAACCTAACACTCCAACTAACAATAAAATTTGTTTGGACTATTAAAAGCGATTTTAGATCGATTTCTGCTATGGTTTTTTTTTATTTGTATGTTATGTTGTTGTTGCAAATGGCGTTGTTATTGTAAAATGGCATTTCTTTATTGTTGTTATTGTTGCTATTATTGTATGAATTGCTCTTAAAGCATAGTTAGGTATTGCCTTCGTTGGTTTTGGAGATCTTTTGGTTTGTTTACACGTAAAATGGCAACTAATATTTTGGTTGAATCTTTTCTCTTGGCGTTTAGCATAATTCTACCTTAGCTTATTTGTTTAGTAAATTATACTTCATTATGACATTAAAATTGTTAATGTATTTGTAGTTTTCGATGATTCTTGCAAATTTCTGTAGTTAATTCGTTTGATGTTTTTAAGCGAGACTTAAGCATTTCGCTTAGCAAGTTTTCACACCTTTTTACTAAAGCAAAATATGCCGAAACTTTTATTGTCGATCATCTTTGTTTTATTTTTAAAAAATTCTTTTTATTTTCTTATGTTAAACAAAATGATGCAAACAAGTGTATTAAACATGCAATAAAGAATGAGTTACTAAGAAACCAAAATCCAATGAAATAAAAATCAAATTTTAATAATCATTTAGCAAATAAAAACCACAGGTTAATAATACTACTACCATAACAATAAATAATAAATATTATATTAAAAAGTCATAATACTAATTGAAACAAATAATTCTATATAAATAAAATGAAATAAATTTTGTCTAATAACATAGTTATGTTTATTATTTTAAACGTCGGTTTACAGACTTTATTCATAGATAAGCCAAAATTAAAAAATAATAGACCAGGAACAGCAATAAATAAAAAAAGCACAAAAATTAATTCTAAGGGATGTGAAGCTGACACTTAAATATTTTCAGATAATGAAGCTGGATTAGGAAAACTCTAAACTCCAAAACCCTCTCAAAACGTTATGGAAATTTAAAACTATAGCATTAGAGTGGAACTCATAACAGAACGTTAATGTAATGAAATACTAGCTATTAAAATATATGTGAGAAATGGTGTTGGCAGGACATTAACCCACATTTACCTATTGTCAGATAGTGAAATAAGCCATAGCCATGAAATAGACAAAAGATACGCCATTGAAATGTATGTGGGAAATGGTGTTGGCCCACACTTATATACTGTCTGATAGTGAAACTGCATTAGGAACACTCCAAACAACAACGATTATTTCAAAATTGGTGAATATTTGCTTAAGCCTTCTCAATATGTTAGGGAACTTTGAAGCTGTAGTATTAGAATCGATCCCAGAACATGATCCCAGGACCCAGGAATACACATATGTGTGAGAGACTGAATTGACAGATATATGAACCCACACTTATAAATTGTCAGATATGCATTTAGTTCTATCAATATGTCAGGCAACTTTAAAACTGTACCATAAGAATCGACCACACGACATAAGGGTAATAAAAATAAAGCGACCCTTGAAATATGTGTGAGATAATGTATTAACAGAAATGTGAACCCACATTTACAAATTGTCAGATAGTCAAGCTACATTAGGAGCGTTTCAAACTGTTACGATTATCTTATAAATGGTAAATAATTGCTTAAGCTCTTTGAATATGTTGGAAAACTTTAATAATGTGATATAAGAATGGATTGCAGGACATAAAGGTAATGAAATAAATGGTTATGTAGCTAAAATGGGAAATTAGTCCTGAGCTATTTCTTTGTTATAACTAAGAGCCACTCGCATGAGGTATTCAGGTTTAAAAGTGTAGTCAAACATTAAGCAAAATAATTTCTCATTCCAGTGAAAAGAATATGAAGTAGGTACGTTCGTTAAGCATAGAAACTCTATCTGGTTACTCATAGGATCTGAATCTTCCTGCAGTGCAACAAAAAGACTCCAGAAGAAGGTATTCAGAATATGGAAGGAGAAAAAATTTACAGAATTATCGCTTAATTTCTCATTCCAAATAAGGAAATATCATGTAAAAGTACCTTACATAAAGCAGCGTATACAAAAAAATTCTATCAGCAGCACTCTGCATTCTCATTCCAGTGAAAAGAATATGAAGTAGGTACGTTCGTTAAGCATAGAGACTCTATCTGGTTACTCATAGGATCTGAATCTTCCTGCAGTGTAACAAAAAGACTCCAGAAGAAGATATTCAGAATATGGGAGGAGAAAAAACTTACAGAATTACCGCTTAATTTCTCATTTCAAATAAGGGAATATCATGTAAAAGTACCTTACATAAAGCAGCGTATACAAAAAAATTCTATCAGCAGCACTCTGCAGACTAATGTCTTACCACATAGATGATATCGTTCTATATAAGTAATGGAACAGCAATTCACAGTTGATGATCAAGCATATACACAATGGATTCATTCCGGTCGCTTCTAACAATAATAACTATAATTGTGAATAAGAAATTGTTTTAATTACATTGCTATAGCATAAATAGAAATAGTTACTAACTAAATATTAATATCACAACTCCCTTAATAGCCATGTGCACTTTACTTAGGGTGTCTTTTTGTACACTAGGTGGATAGCATCAAAATCTGCCTTATGAGACTTGAACCGACTAAAACCACCTCTTAGGAATATGTAAGATTGCAGCCACGTTCAGGGCATATAGCCCCATTCCAGTAATAAAGGACAGGGAGGAGAGCAGATAGGCTTATATCTAGCGAGCTGGATTTATCTAAGCCAGAAAACATGGATTAGTTTTTATGGCATGAGATATTTTAGTGAAGGAGGTGGGGTTCACTCAACTACTGAAAAGTCCAACTAGCTATGCTATGTTGCCACTTAAGAAAACGATACACAGGCCGTTCACCTTAAGATGAATTCAAGAGCTTTTTAGATGAGGGAGAAGGCTGCTATAGTGCTGCTTGAAGTTGAAGACAAAGGCAAAGGCCGACTTGAAGTCGGACAGAAATGTGTCAGATGACAAAGCTGTTGCGATGATTTGGAGAGATGGCGAATCGAACTTCGCAGGCTTAGGGGGTCAGCTAACGGGCATCCATTAGCGGCTGAGGTGGGATGGACTATATAATTTTATAATTAGAATAGTTTCACCTTCAAATTTCCAATTGCATTCATTAATAAATAACACCGGTAAGATATTGCCAAAGTATACATTTGTAATTTTTTTTATTCAGTCTACAAGATTATGGTTGAAAAGAATATAACAGAAAATATCGTCTTTTTGCAAACTAACATATATTTAATATATATTACCATACGAATTACTAATTAAAAATTTTTGTATTTTATTTTTGTATTTTAAACTTAAGTAATACAAATTTGCTGAAATTTTAATGTATAATTCCTTGAGTGACGTACTTAAATTGGCATGGTTTAAAGTAGATCTGTTAACTCAATGCCACTGTACTGTAACATAAATAGGAAGAATATCGAGAAAAAATGGACAAAAATGATTTATTTTTCAAAATAAATAGAAGTATTTACTTATTGTTTTTATTTTGTACAAATATTAATGATAACGATTACAATAATAACTACGATTACGGTAATTCCTAGTTTCATCTGTTTAAGCACCTCTAAAACTAATTAAATTTAAACAACATCTAAAACGTTTTTTTACATTTAACTTAAATTAAAGACTATTAAGCTTTTGAAAAGCTTTAATAATTTTTAAACAAATTATTTACAGCAAATGTAAGATGTACCTAAATAAATACGCTGTCTCGCATATCCCATACTTGATTCAAATTAAGAATTGAAATTAGTTTTTATAACAGTTTTCGCACTGGTTACTGCATTTAATAGATGAAAATTTTACTTATGCTTTAATACTGTTGAAAAGATGATAAAACCAAATCTGCACAATATATTTCTTTTTAATTTTTTTAATATTTTTTTTTTACATTTTTTTTTACACGGGCATTTTACTACTAATGCCAAAATGGAACAGTTAACAAAAGAAGTAAAAAATGTTGATGTTATTTATGAATACCAAAATAAATTTTAAAAAGGTTCCTCTTTTTGTACATACATATACGACCATTCAGAAATCTACAGAATTCATCAAGTTTGCTTCACTTCACATCAAAAATATATGCACCAAAACAAATCCTTAAAAAAATACTCACGTCCTGACATGGGCCTCAGAGATTAAAATTAAACATATAAAATACACCACTGCGTTACTCATTAAAAAGAATAGGCAAAGTGTTATATTCTGTACAAGTATAACAGTTAAGTTGTGAATTGAGTGTTGTGAATTTAGTCTGCAAAACAAAATATAAAAACGTATTATTTAAAATTTGTATAATAATATATAATTAAAGTAAAATTTTCACACATACATATTAAGTGTTTTTATTTCTTTAAATTGTATTAACATAGTACAAAATGTAACCAAATTATCATGAAAATTTTGTTTCAAAATTTTCTGTGAAAGAAATATTCAAAATGCAAACAGCTACTTTCAAATGCAACCATGAGAACGAAATAATTGATTAAAAACAGCTAAGCAATAATGATTAATAATAAGGAGGAGAGAATATATTAGAAGAAGGTCATTGCAAAATACACTGATTACCTTATTTAAAGAAAATTAATTTCAACATGACTGGCTCGTTTAGTGTGAAGTTAAAATCAAAAAAAGGACAATTTATAGTAAAAGATTTAACAGCAGGAACAACAATAGCTGATCTGAAGTCTAGAATAGCAGCAGTAACTAATATTCGAGAACCTTTATTACATATACTAATTGGTTTTCCACCCCGTCCATTGGATTTATCACAAAATAATAACAGCATTTCATCAACTGGAATAAGCAGTGGAGAAACACTAATTATTGAGGAAAAACTACACGAATCCCAAGCCGCAGCGACATCCAATAGCAATCCTACGTCAATTGAACTTGATGAAGCACTTGCACGGCGTCTTCAAGCCGAGGAGGATGAGGAACAACTCCGGCAAGTAGTTGCAGAAGCAACTTCGAGTGAAAGACGTTATCCAGATGTAGCTTCAGAACAAGCTTATAATCCAAATGAAAATTTTGATGGCATTCTTCTAAAGAAAGTTGTGCCTGCAGATAACTCATGCTTATTCACTAGCATTCGGTTTGTTCTCAAGGGTAAAGTAGATAATGAAGGTAGTGAGTTGATGCGTCATTTAATAGCACAAGCAGTTTCTGCTGATCCTCAACAATATAATGATGCAATGCTTGGTAAATCAAATTCTGAATATTGCTTATGGATTCAGCAACCTGACTCATGGGGCGGGGCAATTGAAGTTGCAATTCTCTCGGATTATTATGGCATAGAAATCGATGTTGTTGACATACAAAATGCAATTATTAATCGCTTTGGAGAAGATAAAAATTATGGCACACGTGTGTTTCTACTATTTGATGGCATACACTATGATCCACTGTACTTGGAAACAAATACCGTAAGTATTTAATTTTTTAAATTCAATGAATAAAATATTAAATAAACATATTTGTATATATACATATTTAGAGTGATAAGCCGGTAACAATGTTTCCAATTGAAGAAATGGGTGTGTATCATCAAGCCGAACAAATAGCTAATGAAGCTAAATCTTCCCGTCAGTTCACCAATGTTCACAATTTTACTTTACGCTGTTTAGAATGCGATGTTATGTTAATTGGGCAAACTCAGGCTCAGCAGCACGCTAAATCAACAGGGCACACTAATTTCGGCGAAATTTAATATATAACATAGATCTCGTTTATTTTGTTACATTTTCACTTTTACTTTCATTAATTCTCATAACTATACTATTGCAAAAAAACAATACTTTTATTTTTAGGCAATTTTATTAAATTATTTTATATTGTACTTGAGCTTTTTATTTCGTTATAAATTCATAATTTATTTATATAAAAGAAACAGTATTGCACTGCCCAATATATTTGAAGAATAAAATAGAACTATTTTCCATGAAAGTAAAAGTTATAATATCAGCTTAATGCTTAATGCAGAGCACTTTAAATATTTAATTTTCGAATTGTTTGCATAAGTTATTTTTATTACTTTATTTCGTTCATAACAACAAATAAAAGCTATGAAAAAATCGAAAAATAAATTAATTTTATTAACTATAAGAATTAATATTTATTTCTACATACTATATAGAAGATTACAAAATGTAAAAACAAAAAGGATTTATAAGTTAATTGCACTAAATGTATAGAGAATTTTATATTAACTTGAATTCAGTCAACCTTACATCAAATATATGTGTCCAAGCATATTTATAAGCATAATTGAAAACCTTTCTAACTAAATCATATTCTGTTTTTGTTCCTATTCTTTTAGTAACCTTTTGGAATCTAGAAAGGAAGTACATAAAAGAATAACAAATTTGAAGAATTAAAGAATGAAAGGAAATATTAAAAGGCAGTTAGGTAGGATAAAAATCTTTTACTGCAAATGACCATACCGATTCATAAGCATAATTAAAAATCTTTCTACATTAAAGAATGAGAATGGATGTTAAAAGACAGTTAGTTCACATGAAAAATATTGCAACCTCTATGGGGCGAAACCATAGTATAATATTATATTAATAAATAATATTATCAATAATACTGAAATTAGTGATATGGTGCCCACTACAATCGGAACACACTTCGGGTATGGTTTTTGCGTGACAAGTAACTGTTTAGCATATATTAGATCTACTAGATAATATATTATATTAATAAAGAATATTAATAAGAATGAAATTAATGATATGATGCCGACTACAATCGAAACACAGTTTGAGTATGGCTTTTATGTGGCAAGGAATTGTTTGGTTCTTGTTGCATATGGAAGGTGTTATTCAAGATTAGAGGTTTCATGCGGAGGACTTTTGAGGATTTTGTTGGGTTGCAGCTATCATTTTTGGTAGGAAGAACTAAAAATCATTGCAGATATTCGAATTTACTGATGTTAATTTAAATAATTATACAAATTTCTTTAAATAAAATTTATGAGTCTTGAACTCGACTTCTACAAATTTGACATAACTTTTGATTTTTGAGAAACCTCTGTTAAATAATTTTGCGGTGGTTAGATCGTATACACCTTAGTGCATCCGCAATTTAGAAAAAATGTTATAGATTAAATTGTTAAATTAAAACACGACTTGGATGTTACAATTATATTAAGAAAATGTAGTATGTAAGTCATTATATAAAATAAGTTAAACTTAATCTTGATACAATAAAATCAACTTTCAAACCATTTTAACATAATTGTAATTAAAAATTTTTAATAATATATATTTTTACAGCAAAAAAGCTCTTCAGCTCATTGCAAAAATTTGTAAAAAAAAATATTTTACAAACTATAAAATATATTTATTTTAATTAATAATTGCGTTTTCACTAAGTTGAAGTTCCCCAAGGAGGTGTCATTGGCGATGGATTTTGAAGATATGACATTACAACTGCACTAACACTTAACATAAATGACGATAAGACCTAGAAATAATATAATATATAAGTTGTTTTAGATAAATTTTTGTCTACATTACCTGTTTAGCGTCATCACTCACGCGTGAACTGGCAAAACTGATACATGAACAATATAAAGCAAACCAAGCGCACCATTTTAGTTTCATCATAAGACCACACATCGAGAATATCATACCTGAAGTTATTGAAAATATATAAATATTTTTTAATATAATTAAATATATATTTTGCACCATATACAGTAAAGGACATAGCAACAATTAAATTACAACACAACAAATTATAATTATTTATAAATTGTATCCAACTCCAGTTAGCTTTTAATTATTGTTAGTACAAAAGTAAAGTGTAAAACTGTCCTAATGGATATACTATTACTGAATGAACAACCCTCTTCAATGTATAATATGTCTAAAACTAAATAATTTACTTTTTTATTATATAGAATAATTGACGATAAGTTCCCATTCAATACGGACTTTGTTGTAATATCTACATGCTTATCACATTTATACCCTTCGTAATGCAACTTTTTATATTAAATACCAACCTAAAATATTCATATAATCAGGCATTAAATCCTCATTAGGAGCACCTGATTGTCCTTGTGTAGAAGGAGGCTTATAACGAACCACCTGAAATAAATATGAATAAAATATTCAATTATTAGGCAGAAAAAAGAAATCTCACGTCAATTTTTATTGCCTTGTTTTTAGTGAGTTACAAAAAAATATTTACTAAAGAATAAGTTTCACCTTTTCTTTTCTCCTTGGATCAACAGTTGAATTCATTTTAAATTATAAAAATTTTTATAAATATATAATTAATTTATTAAACTACAAGTACTCTGAATTATATAGTACCAAAGTAAAAGATTGGAGAAATGTCAGAAATACGTCAAAATGTCAATTATTCGTTATTTTGTAACGTCAACCATTGAACCCAATTACTCGTTATTAAAATTTAAAATCAGTTGTTGGCATGTCCAATTATGTTCGTTACTGCATCAAAATGCAATTGCGTTCGTTGTGAAAACTGAAAACTTTATTGCTTTTAAAGGATTTAATAAGCGTTAAATAAATTTTCTTTTCTCTTCAAATATATAAAAATCAACCTAAAATGGCTGATAAAATTGTATTGACCGAGAATAATTCGATTGAAGACAGCCTGGCATTGTTACGATATTTTCAGCGCTTATCGCCAGATAAATATGTAAATATGAGCAAAAAAATAAAAGTACTAACATGTATTACTATAATTTTAACTATTTAATAATTTTATATAGCCTGGGATTATGTTTCGTAATTTGCTAACTGCTTTAATCATTATTACAAAAAAATTGCGTTCGGATGCCTGTACCGAAGCTGCGAAAGCATTGTTCGAATGGTTGGAAGCATATAACGTAATTTTTAAATGTCGCACTTACACTTTAAATATTACTAAAAATTTTTTGTTTATTTAGAAATTGCAACGTCTAATCTGTCCTAATAATAACACTTTAGTAAAGCAATTTATAAAATCCGTTCCAGCGGTTTTAACTTTTGTACTTGGTTGTTTCAAACAAAAGCCACCAAATATGCCCAATTTTCATTTCAAACTTCTGACACTACTCTATACATTTTTGGATAATATTGATATTACCTTGTTTGGTAATGAAATAAAACTTTCCAAAGGCGTTATGTGAGTTTAATGTATGTTATACCTAATTAACTTTTTGTTTTACATCTAAATACACTTTCAGTTCATGTGTGTGGGATCCTATTCAAAATGGCGAAAACTTTAATACACAATTGTTAGCATTACGAGTATTAACGACATTGCTGAAGATAGTAAACAAGAAAGGTGCAGAAGAGGAGCTTGCAGAAATGAATTCACGCCAATCATACCCACTGAATGATTACATCAAAAAGGCAATGGAATACACAAAACCCCATCCATCTGCTTTTGACAGTGTTTGTATTTGACACTACTAATCATTTTCCAATATTATCCAATATTTTATATAAATAGGTTGCGCGCAATCTTCTAAATCATGTGAATATGCGAACTATGCAAAATACTTCGGTTTATTCAGTTAAGTGTTATTCATTGTTTATTGAAGATAAAATTGAATTCTTTAAACCATCGGTATTGAATATTTAATTTTTGTTTTTAAACTTATATATTTCATAAAATTTTCTTTTAGTGTTCTGAGCATTTTTGGGTGGATTTAAACTCTTGTCCTCTCACTTTAACATTTACTGGTCGTTGCAGATCAAAAGAAAATGGCGAATTTGTCGATATATCAGTAATTGCTTCCATAAACAAAATTGATTTGTATGTTAATATTTTAAACTTTTAATGTTCTAATTTTCATTGTATATATTATTTCAGAACAAATACAAAGCTAACAGTTTTCCTTAGACCTCCAATTATTTATTCCAATTGTTTGCGATATCTTCAAGATGTTTACAATGCAACTTATGCCACAATTGAAACTTCTAAAGAAGATGTGTTTCACCTTAAACAACATGAAGAGCTTTTAAATAAATTTAATGTTCAATATTCTGATCCAGTTTGCTGTCTTAATGAGACTGTTCACGAATATAATGATATTATGAATAGTTTCTGTGATGAAGAAAGAATTCAGAACCGTAAGTTTTATTCAAAATAATAATTTAAACTCTTACAAAACTTAAAATTATTTCTAAAATTTATTTTCTTATTGCATAGTTTCACCGCAAAATGTAGAGGATTGCCAGTTTAATAACAATATGCAAGATAATGAAAAAGTTTTGTCTTCAACCCCGTTATCCACCATAAGAAGTGTTGATATGATTCAATCCTTGAACGAATTCAGTCAAGTATCACCTATAAGCAGCGAGATTTCTGTTTTAAATCCAAGCACAAGAAAAAGGCAGCTATTTACAGAAAGTAATACTCCCCTAACTAAAAGGTAAGAAAATAGTATTAATATTGTTTAAATGAAAAAATGATCATTAAAGTACAAAATGACCTTACTATTTCGGTTCTTATACTATTAAATTTGAAGTCAAATCTATATAGTCAAGTATGTTTTCATTATATATTATCGTCGTCATCATCATCATTATCTTTCATAATATAACAGTTTATTACAAACTAAAGTTACTTCAAATTTTGACTTCAATCATGGTTTTTTGTTGCCATTCTTCAATTGTTGTCACTGCCGAATTTATCCTGGGAGCTATGACTCAAGGCAGAAACATTACCAGTCTTTACTTAGTTTTGAAAATGTTAAATAATCGTTACTTTCAATATAGAAAACTTTGATAAGTCCTATATATTGATAAATTATACATTTATTATACAAATAGTGTCCTTTTTTACATTTGCCGCTTCCTTTTTCCGAACGAGTAAAAGTCACAAAGTAAATTTATTTCAAGACAGGAAAATATTAATGTTTTAAACATATGTAATTCCCAATAGCTACAGTTACTACAAAACCTCTGTTTGCTCTCAATTGTACTTATATATAATATACCTTATTTTGCAAAGTCTGTTAATAATGACAGTGTTTTTAACAAATTTATTAACTATCACATTAAATTTGAATTTTTATTAGACTTTATTCTTTTCTTATGGATGTTATTTTATTTTAATTTTTAAATATTAATTTATTTTCATTATAATATTTTTTTACATTTTTTCGGTAATTTATGGACTAACAATTCTTCTAAAAGCAGCACTATTCCCGTGCACTATCTTCAAATTCTCTTTGTCTTCGTTAATCCATTTTTTAAACATGGTTTTGTATAAACCTGGAACTTGTGTGCCTTATTACATATCTTAGCCAATATATACCTCATTTTTTCATAAAGTGGATATTTCCATAACGGTCTTCATTTCGTTCAGCTAATATTTATAATGTCGTCTGTATGTTTAACTTACTTTTTTTACTAACCAAAAATCGTTCACAAAAGCTTCCTTTTAAATTAGCTCACAAATCACTCTATGTTCTAGCCTTGTATTAAAATAAATAAAGATATAATTAAGTATATAGAATGAAGGTATAAAAGCAAAGTAGATGGCGAAAAAAATCGGAAAGATCTAATAGGCCCAAATAGATTTCTCTTCTATTTTTTGTTTTATGGGCCATGTAAGATTTTCAGAAATACCTATGCCTTTCTTAAGAAACATAAAAAGGCAGGAGCATGCCTTTTCAATTAAGTTAGATTTTTTTTTGTGTAATAAAAGATATGTAGTAATAATTAATTAAGTAATAGAAAAAGTAAGATAATAAGTTGAATTATCTGCGGATACAGGTAGTAATTTTACTTGAAGTACCATATTTTTTCGATTTTAATCTGTCTCTTTCTGTTAAAAGTAAAAGTTCCGCCTTAATTATAAAATTATTTAATATAACTTTAAGTTATATTATAAATAATTTAAAAGAAGTGCAATTTTAAAGCTTCCTCCCAAACTATCACTGCCCACCAGTCAAGTAGACAGGGTTGATAGAAAATACTTTTTTTAAAGTATGTTTGCAATGGCTTATCTGTAGATTGTATAGTCAGGGGAAGATCTGTTTCCTTACCTGTCCGGCTTGACACGCCATTTTTAAATGGATCAAGATGCTTTTATAAGTTTCCCTGCTTTTGATTGTTTCAATTATCTGTAATCAGTAACATTTACCATTATTGCAATTTAAAATTAGTTATTCTATTGTAATTATTATTATTTATTTTTGTTTTAATTTTTGAGGTCGTTACTTCGAAAATGTTTAAATGCGGTTATTTTTGTTTTTTAAAATATACTAACTTTTATTTCGAAAGTTTTTTTTTTGTGTATCTCTACACGTGTTTCGGCAAATTCGCTTTTGCCTTCATCAGGAGAATTCCTAATATTAAAACATCTAGCAATCTTACAAACTATTTATACCATAAACATGTTATTTTTAATACTAAACTTAATATTAATAAATCCTAAGGTTATTGTCCTTGGGGGTGACAGGTAAGAAATGTGGCGGGATTGGTCTGGTGTGTTTTTATTTTTACATACAGGTAGTTAGGTTGACTGGTTGTCGGTTTTTTGGGATGTATCTAAAAAGGCACGATGACACGTTGCCTTTGTCGCCGTTGAGTAAAGTTGTGGTCTGATGTTTATGAATTTCGATGCTTTCTGCCGTTTCTAATTTCCAGCTATCCCTTACATTTTTGATTATTTGGGCGTTATCCCTGTTGATGTGGTGATTTTCCTTTACTATATGTCTGGCGACATTTGATTTTATGTGGGGGTTCATTTTCTTCGGTGCTTCTCTTGCTTCCTTCAGGTGTTCTTCAAGTCTTACTGATAAGGGTCTTTTGGTTTGTCCGATGTATACTTTGTTGCAGGAGCCACACTCTATTTTGTATACTCCGCATTTTTCGAATGGGTCAATTGGGTCTTTTGCGGATGGTAAAAGGCATTCAAGTTGGTGTGGTCTACTAGAGTGAACTAAGTCGATATTGAACTTTTTTAACTTGGATTTTAGACAATAACACTGTCTCGAAAGGTCTAAAATCTAAGTTAAAAAAGTTCAATATCGACTTAGTTCACTCTAGTAGACCACACCAACTTGAATGCCTTTTACCATCCGCAAAAGACCCAATTGACCCATTCGAAAAATGCGGAGTATACAAAATAGAGTGTGGCTCCTGCAACAAAGTATACATCGGACAAACCAAAAGACCCTTATCAGTAAGACTTGAAGAACACCTGAAGGAAGTAAGAGAAGCACCGAAGAATATGAACCCCCACATAAAATCAAATGTCGCCAGACATATAGTAAAGGAAAATCACCAAATCAACAGGGAAAACGCCCAAATAATCAAAAATGTAAGAGATAGCTGGAAATTAGAAACGGCAGAAAGCATCGAAATTCATAAATATCAGACCACAACTTTACTCAACGGCGACAAAGGCAACGTGTCATCGTGCCTTTTTAGATACATCCCAAAAAACCGACAACCAGTCGACCTAACTACCTGTATGTAAAATAAAAACAACACCAGGCCAACCCCGCCACCATCTCTTACCTGTCACCGCCAAGGACAATAACCTTAGGATTTATTAATATTAAGTTTAGTATTAAAAAAAAAATAACATGTTTATAGTATAAATAGTTTGTAAGATTGCTAGATGTTTTAATATTAGGAATTCTCCTGATGAAGGCAAAAGCGAATTTGCCGAAACACGTGTAGAGATACACAAAAAAACTTTCGAAATAAAAGTTAGTATATTTTTAAAAAACAAAAATAACCGCATTTAATTATTATTATGTTGTTAAATTATTAATCATTTTTTATTAATTTTCATACTTTATGTTCGTATTTTATATGTCACTACAAACAGATTCATAGAAATATGTTTTTTTTTTTTATATTTAGGATTACCCCGAAAAAACGTAATTTAGAAACTGAAAATCATGAAAATCAACGGCCTAGATTAAAGGCTTCATCACATAATAAAGAAACCTACCTACCATCTTCAAAAACTAAAACCCAAAAGCCATTAACTTCTAAGATGCAGAAACAAATTGAAACTTTTCCAGCTGTAAAAAGTTCTAAAAAGAAACCGCTCGTTCCTTCTCTTCAAGATGCTAATAAACCGCTATTGAAAAATTTAACACATAAAGATTTTAAAAAATTTACCGAACCTCAATGGAATAAATTTATAAACGAGATAACTGAAGACAATTGCCCAGAACTGTATAAGTTTCTTTATGGTATTGATAATGATATATTTAGTATAGAACAAAAAACAAATCTAATGAAGATGATGCTTCAAATACCTGATGACGATCCAGAGTCACCAAACGAAAATGTAAACATTTTACAGGATAAATGTAAAATGCATGTCATTTGTGCAAAGTATTCGAGTTGTAAATTTAAAACAATTTTACAACGTTCATATACGAATATGATCCAATACGAACAAACACAAATGGTTGAAAACGATGATAATATTCCAAGTACATCGGGTGTTAATACAGGTTCTTCTAAGAATAACGTAAAAAAAGTCGCAAGACGTAAAATCGATCATGAAACAACTAACTTAGAAAATAACAAAAAACCTAAGGTAAACCATTAAAAACACTGATTCATATAAAAATCTTAAAATAATAATTTATAGGGCAAACAAAGTAATATGAAAAATGATAGGGATAAACTTTGCTCTCAAACAAATAATAATAACAAAAATATAGATTATAAATCACAAAACACTGATCCTAGTGAAAAAATAAATAATAAAACTAAACCAAAACGACGACGTTATGAACCCAAGAAAAAAACAAACAAAGAAACTTTAAATAGAGATAAATTTTTTAATAAGTTTTTTAAAACAAAAGTAACAAACATTTCAGATGAAATTGATCCCGACATTGAAAATAGTATAGATTACTTTATTCATTCGAACTCATTTTCTGCCAATGAAGCAGAAAATGCTTTGCAAGAACAACAATTTGCAATGTTCACAAATTTAAATAGTTTAAAGAAAATCCGCACTCCAGATGATCTCAGAAATAATTCAAAAATATTCAATGATAATCTTCGCAATCGAAATATATTTGATTATTCCGAAACATATAGTAAGAACGCAGATTCACCACCAAATAAAATTTCTGTAGCTCCGTATAATCAAGTTACTACCCACATACCAGATCCAATATGTAAAGATGTTACATATAATAATGAAAATTTAGAAAATGTTGGAAGTCCCTTAACCTTATATGAACCGTTGTATATTGAGACTAATTTTAACGAAAACATTCAGCTTCGAAGACCACATAATGTAAATAAACATAAAATAAAGGAGTTATCTGTTACAAACAACGATAAAGAAATATCGTCACACCCACTTTATAATGAATGTGAAATTGATCAAAATATATACAACATACTATTGCAAGAGAACTCAGTTCTACAAATTTCATCGCCATCAAGTATTAAAAAGAATACACATCACGTAGACCAAAATATGTTTATTTCCCCAAAACCAACAACTCATAATGAAATCATGGAAAAACCAAAATTGATTTCAGATCCTGAAAATATTGGCTTACTAATGTGTTCTATCACATCGTTCAATAACTCAACAAACTATCAAAGTGTAGAATTGCTAAGAGAAAACACTCGTCAAGGTATTTGACAATATTATTATTATTAATATATTATATATAAAATAACATTTTTAATTTTTTATTATTTCATTAATATAATTACTATTTGTAATTAAATATTATTATTATTATTTCCATACTCCATTAGGAGTTTAAGGAGTCTATAAAAGTTTTTCACTGGTTTCTATTTTGTGCTATTGCTTTCAACTCGTTAAACGATTTGCATGTCTCTTGCTGAACTGTTCTTCTCCATGTCATTGCTATTCTGCCTCTGCGCCTAGTCCCCAGAGGGTTCCAACTAAGTGCAGCATGCGCGATATTTTCATAAGGCTAACGCAGTGTCCAATCCAGCCATACTTCTTTCTTCTTATTTTGTTGTTTACGTTTGTTTGGTGCGTTATACTCCATAACTCTTCATTTGAAATCGTTTTAAGACACCATAAGCCTAATATGTTGCGCAGGCATTGATTGATAAATGATTGCAACCTTCTTTCGATTTCGGAATTAGCAAGCCAGGTTTCCGATCCATATAAGCATACCGATTTGGCACATGCGTTAAAAATTTTTGCCTTGGTGTTGGTATGATTGATTACTTACTGAAATGATTACTTATTTACTTACTGCAGTCTTCATTTCGCAGTCGCGCATAGAGCCTCAACAAACCCTCTAAATCTCACTCTATTGCTTCTTTGCCTTCAACAGTTCTTCGCCAAGTTTTGGCGAGGGCACCAGGACGGCGGGAACCTTGAGGATTCCACCTCAGCGCTTGTTAAATAATATAGATGTTATTTTTGCGGAAAGTATGCCGTATCCAATTCCGTTTACGTTTTTTAACTTCAGTACTCGCACATACGTGATCTGTACGCTCCCAAAGTTCTTCCTTTGATACGTTTGATATTTTAAAAATCTGTAGCAAACACTTGTTTATAAACACTTGCATCTTCTGATCAATGGACTTTAAACATTTCCAGGTTTCAGAGCCATAATACAATACTTTACTTTACGTATTGTATTATCCTTAACTTTATTTTTTGTGTGAACTGATGGCCATACCTGCATGAACTGATTGTAATTATTAAAATATTTCTTTTTCTTTTAATTTTTAGAATCCACAAATTTAATGAAAACTTATAAAGCGGATATTAACTTGGAAGCAAAAGAATTAAACGATCAATTAACTGCAAATTTCTTTGATGAAACTAAAAAAGAAATTTGTGCAGTTATTAGAGAAGTTCTAGAGAAAACCAAACAAAAAGACAAGATAGAAAATGAACTTTTGGAGGCTATATACAATGTACATAGACTATATGAAAAGTATCAAGATGTATCAGATGATGTTAAACGGTATACTGAAAATGTAGAAATTTTAATATTAAATTATTAGTATGTATAATTATTTAATATATATGTTTTACATTTGAAGATCTGAAGAAAAAGCAAACAATATATTACAAAATATTCATTTTACTAATAACAAGATTACGACAAACAAGTACTTTGAGAGGTTGTTGAACGAATTTGATGTTAAATCGATAGAATTAAGAAAAAGTAAATGGAAATCATATGTTAAACATAATGTTATAACATTAATCGATGGAATGGATTATATATCGGCTTTAAATATATAATAAAATAATCCTATTAATTCTCATTATATAATTCTTAAACATATTGTATCTTTTTATAAAATTATTATTTTGTTTTTATTACATTATTCTTAAACATCTTAACTCCTAATATTGTATAAATTAATACCTTATTATTGTTCATAAACATTATATATCTATTATCATATATACCTATTCTATTATTCTTAAATGTAACAAATAATTTGAGATTAATTAATAAATAAATTATAATATAATTTAACTCTTTAATTTTAACATCAAAAATAATTATAGCTTGGTTTAGAAATACGATTGCTCAACAGTTTTTAATATTTCTTCAGCTTTTCCGGCTCTTAAACTATATTTTTTTATTGCAAAATTCAATGCTAAGAAGAAAACAAATTTGCAAAAACAATGATGCCATCGTGTGCACTGTTGGAGTTTAATTGTATGTCATGTTTCTACTGCAGCTACAACTACTTATGATTAAGTAGTTTGGTCGTGTCCGTAATTAATATTTGGTCGTTTCCATTGGCATGAGCTAATTTATATATATGAAATAACTTTTATGTGTCAGAAAATACTGTAAAAGTTGTAGAAGAGTTTTGTTAAAATTTCAATTGTAAGCAGATGATATTTAGTTTTGTGTTGTTAGCAGAAATTAATTAGTTTCGCATGGAAACAGCAGAAAATGCAAATAATTTAATATATAATGTTTGTGAAATTATTCACAACATGAATAAAACAATAGGTGCATACAGAAAACAACGTGCAATGCTTTGGAAAAAATTAATAACTATTAAAAAGCAACAAATAGCATTACTTTCCTCTAAATGTAATTAAACTATAAATCTAAATACTATTACATACTCCATTTTCCCATTGATAAGAAGTCAACTCTCGTCGCCGTTCATTTGAAATAAACCAACTTCACATAATAATATATAACACAAAAAAAATTAATTTATATTTGATATATTAAATCATTTATGTAGATTTATCCTCCTATACTGTGAACTTGATGAATTAAAGGTCTTACTTATTTCTTAAGGTTGACTAATTATTCCGTGCTAAGGTTTTGATATTCCGTGCTATAAGTAAAAAGCTATTTTCTTGATATTTTGGCAAGTTGACAAATGCTATTGACAAGCTTTTTATACTGTTTGTATTTAAAACATACATATGTCAAATATTTTTGTCATTTTCCTTGTGGGAAATTTATTTTAGAGGGTAGTTTTCGAGATTTTTAGCCTTAAATTTATTAATTTATTTTTAATGAACTCATTTATATGAAAGCTCTTTGTATGGAATATGAGATCAGTGGAAATGTGATATTAAACCCTAGTCACATCGCCGCAGATAATTGGTTGTGCCAGTGTTTCTTCCACATTCTCATCTCTATGAGTTTTTCAACATATTAATAAGAGGGAATTCGAAGCCTTATAGTGTGTCTACCAAATAACCAGTGACCGATAATGGTCCAATCGTTGCAGCTAACAAATTTTTTAAAAGTAAACTATTTACCGAACGGGGTGTGGGAATCAAGATGATATTTGTGCAATTTCTGAAAGTGTGTTTTATATTTCATGTCAGTGACAATTAAGTTTCCATTATTTATAAGATTTTATTAGAACTAGTTAAAATACAATATGAATGCAAAAGTTCACAGAAATTTCAAAATAAATATAAAACGAGTATTTGCGCATTTCACATCACTAATCAGCTGTGTTTATTCTGTATCATGTGTGTAACTACCACAATGTTTTGGTTAAAACTACGAAAGCATGTTGTTTTAGGATTGTAATTATATTTAAGAATTTCGAAAATGATTGGACGTTTGCTTCACTCAACGTTTACAACTGCAATCAAATATTCAAATAAACGATTTTTATTAACAAACTTAAATTTCTCAAGTATTGTACAGCAAAACTACGCCGGCTTTCAATTCCTTCAACTGCAACAACTTCATGTTAAGGTATTTGACAAAGAAGTTGGTTTCGATAATCAACGGGAATCTAATAGATACGATGAAAACGAATCAATTTCTATAAATCACACACAAAAAGTCGAAGATGTACAAAAATTATCTAAACGAGTACCACGGGTAAGAAGGATAGTACGCACTGAGACAGAAGTGGATGATAATGTAAAAATAAGTGATGCCGATGTTTTTGGTGGCGCTAGAATAGAGGAAGAAGAGCTCGATGCAGGTTAGTATTTTCATAACAAATATTATTTGCAATGTATAGTTTTGTTACTTTTTTATTAGGTGACAAAGAAGAAGAGGAATTTTTGAATCGTTCAACACGACGAACTAAAAAGTTACAAACACATCAATATGCCAGATTAATCAAGGAGCACATGAACATGCATAGGCTAAATGATGCTATTGCTGTGCTAGAAAAACGTATGCTCAAAGAGGATAGAGTGAAACCAGAAAATTATATATACAATTTACTTATAAGTGGCTGCGCTAAGGCTGGCTATACGCGTAAAGCGTTCAGCTTGTTTACTAAAATGAGACAACGTGGACTGAAAGTCACTGGAGGCACTTATACGTCACTTTTCAATGCCTGCGCTAACGCGCCATCGATTGAGGACGGTTTAGGTCGTGCTAATCATTTACGAGAAATTATGCTAGAAAAGGGATTTGAACCAAATCTTAAAACATATAATGTTATGATCAAAGCATTTGGACGTTGCAAGGATGTCAAAACAGCATTTTTAATTGCAGATGAAATGTTAGATAAAAAACTTGAAATTAACATTGATACCATTAATTTCTTGCTACAGGCTTGTGCTAGTGATATACAATATGGATTTAGGTGATTATCGTATATTTGTATTTATAAATAATATATATTTAAATATTTATATTTTCAGACATTGCTTACTGACATGGCATAAAATGTTACAAAATGGTTTAAAACCTGATTATTATACGTTTAATACAATGTTACGCTGCACACGTGATTGCGAATTTGGTGACATACGAAGTATGCAAAATGTACTCCAACAAATTTTAGAAGAAAATCAAGCAATCGCTATTAGTAACGATGTTCACAAAAATAAACAATTATTGATAGAAAGTAAAAGTTCAAATTTAGAATCTAATGACTTAAAACAAAGTACTGAACTGGAAGCAGTACCAGCAGATACAAATCCAAAAGAAGTCGTAGCAGTTACTAATGACAATCCCACTCAACTAGAATTGCCTAATTTATTAGCATTGAAACCTCACTTAGGCAGCTTGTTGACGTTATCAGAGGTAAACAAACCTCATGAAAGATTTGTTTTACTTGGTGGTCTCACAGGATATTTGGAGATAATGAAACAAAACAATGTAACACCTGATATAAAAACATTTACAACAATGTTGGAAATCATACCCCCAACAATTGCTGCTGAAAAACAAATACTGTCATTTATACGCAGAATTGGTTTAAAGGCTGATATTGACTTCTTTAATATATTAATTAAAAAACGTTCAATGCGTTTCGATTACGAAAGTGCAAAAGAAGTATTATCAATGTTGCATACAGTTAAACTACAACCAGACATTGTTACATATGGAGTATTAGCTTTAGGCTGCACGAACGAAGAGGCTGCGAGGGAATTAATACAACAAATGCATAACAACGGCATAAAGTATGTATATAAAATAATTTACATATATCAGGGCTGTGAACTGTATAAAAATATTCGTAATATATGTTTCATCTGCTTCATGGTTGTAAGCTATTCTGAACTGTTTTGTACGGCAATTAAATCAATGAGTTTTAATAGTAATAAAAAATGAACAGTTCCAAATCAACTCCAGTTTGGTTCAGAAATGATTCATAGCCCTGTCGCACATTTGTATATTAATTATAAAAAATAATCTAATATATTTTCTTTATTAAGGATGAATGTTGAAATTCTTGGTGCAATGTTACGTCAAGGTTGTGCAACGAAAAACTTTTCTTACGTGATGGATATTATGCAAATAAGTTTAGATGAAAATATAAAGCCAAATGAGATCTTCCTGAGACATTTGCATAATTTCTATAAACATTGTGCAAAATTAATAGATGCAAGAGTATGCATTAAAATTTTATTAGTAATAATTAAATTGTACTAAATTTTATCTTTTATAGCATCCCACCTCTAAAACCAAAACATTTAAAAAAATGCATTCTAAATTTTGCAACAAATTACATACTTATCACGAGGAATTAGGTATAGCTGGACTTAAACTTGAAGATGCTATTAAAAAAATAAAGCAGCGTCCTTATGATCAATATAAAGAAG